CCAGCTGCAGGCTGACAGGTACAGATCTGTCAGCAGATTACAAATTAGCACCTCTGTTCCCCAGAGCCTCCTTGGTTCCTTAGGGAACTAGTGGTGGGAGCTACGGTTTTTTTTACCACTCTGGAGCCCAGCCTCATACCAGATTGTTCAGGTGCCTATTGCCAGGCTAGCCCTGCAATGTGGGAGATTTCAGTAAAAGACTTTTGCTCTGCAAGGAGTGTGGTTCAGTGCCCAACTGCTAGGCAGGGCTGTTGTCCATAGGTTGCCCTGCAGCCAGGGCAGTTGCCCTAGGCTGCCTCCAGTGTCTCTGCCAGGGCAGTTTGGTGCCCCTGGAACAGCATAGCTCCATTTTGCTGAGGACTGCAAGTTGTTTACTTGGACCCAGGCATCAGGCTTCTCCAACCAAGGCCAGGGGCTCTGCAGCAAAGGGAACGAGCTTCAGACCCTCCTCCCTCCCTAATTAACCTGGAGATAAGAGAGAAAGAGCTGCAGGAATGGAGCAGGAGAGGGACTATGGCAGTCTTCCTGGAGAACCAGTCCTTGTTTGATTTCCCAAGGAGCACTATGTATCACATAAAGAGAAATGTAACTTGCCCTGCTGATGAGCTTGGATGAATGTGCTTTCATTATACTTTTCAGGTAAGATGCTGATTATATGCATGAAAATATAGTATTAAGCAATTGTATCAAGTAGTTATTGTATTACCTACTTATTCTTCTAAGCATCAAGGATTTGTATAAGTATCAGAGTTGGAAATAGACAGTGGGGGTTTTTTTCTGGAAAAAAATGAAGTGGTTCCTAATGATCAAAATTTCCATCCAAATTGGTAGTAATTTTGTTGAAGTGTTGAACCACAAAGCTTAACTTGCCACACAGAGATGGGGAATCTCAGCACATCATTGTGCCCCTGCTACCCCAAAACAGCTAAGAAGTTGCTTAGAAGTTCAGTTCAATGACCAGGAACAGCAGCTATTTATACACCTTTGTCATAGCTGACCTCTCAGCTATGGCAAAGCAGGTTTGGTTCTTAACTGGGCTAGAAGAAAATGAGCTTTCTTTTCGATAACTGCATGTTTTCTCTTTAGGATAACGGAAGTGAGGTAGCTATGTGGATATACTACAATCAGGAGGAAAGCCTAAATTTTCTGTTGTGTTGGGGCAGAGTGTGGGACTTGTGCTATGTTGGTCTTTAAAATGAAAGTAAAATGCTCTCTACCCCTATATTCTCTCCTACATATGGATTTACCACTACTGGGACTGCATCTGGGTCTTTCCTGACTTCAGCTTAGCCCAGACCCAGGCAAAAGACAAGCAGAAGAAAACAATTACAACAGGGACTATGTTACCCTGAGTCACTGGTGCAGGAGTACATTATCTGTGTAGAACAGCTGTTAGGAAACTCCAGTTCAGGGTTTCTTTATGGCTGCCTCAGGTGGAAAAAGCAAGTGGATAAAATCTACTTTGGAGCCAAGCAACTAGAGTTTTCTTGTAATACTTATTTAGTGGTAAGTGTTTGTGGTAGTCATAGGCAAATCCTATGCTGAGGACTGCAAGTTGTTTACTTGGACCCAGGACTAAGGACCCTTAGTCCTTCTATCCTCTAAGTGTAGGAGTGTTTGATGCAGATGCCACGGTTGAATTGAAATCACCTGAGTTAATATCTATTAAGAGCACGATTTCCAGTAATAACATGTCATAGTATGTACTGAATAAAATGAAAAAAGCTCTACTTTATAAAGATGTAAAATTATATCCTCCAATCAGTTATAATTGGCTTGATTGCTGCTTACTCAAATATCTTGTTTGCACATATGCAAAATCATAGTTGTGTATACTGATGAGAGGTAACTTGCTGGACTGAAATCTATTTTATGTGTCATGAAGTGACTTTTATTGAGGTCCAACTGTTTTTTTCTGCATAAAACCAATGGTGATTTGTAGGACTGCAAAAGAATCCCCGTAAAATCAGAATTTGGCCAGCCTAAGCTTTTTAGTAGCAATGATGCTCAGCATGAAAGAAGCAATTTGATTCTGATTTCAGAATGCGTTTGTAGTGGTGATATTTTTCTTAAAAAGATATTAATTGTTTTTTATTTGTGAGCTGGGGGAAAAAATGGACCTGATTTTTAATGAGTAAATATAAATGTGAACTGTCACAATTTCATTTGCTCTCTGGCTTCTGTGTAACAGTTCAATAGCAGTTGCTGTAGTGACTTAATTTTATTTCCAAATGTAGGCTAATCATCACCTTCCTTCATTTATGAGGTGTTAATTTGCATGGACAGAAGTGCTGATGCACTGGATATTGAGATCCCTTCGGGTTATTGTTGCTCATTCAAGTAGCTTGCTTCCCCCTGCCAGAGATTCAGTACTTTACACTTGCTGAACTTACCCCACTCATGCTGAACAATGTGGTAACAAGCAAAAAGCCAGCATGTACTAGGCTAATCGCTATGGGGTGATACTCTTTTTCTAGGCTGCTCCCTTTTAAGTTGTGAACCGACACCATGAAGTTCTATTTTATTGTTAGCAGAGGGCTTACATAACACTGCAGCTAATCTGTTGTGATTCCTTCACTGCCACCTTTCTTTGCTGACTGCTGCCCAAAAGGGCCTTCCAGTTTGAACGGTCTGCTTAGTAGCCATGACTGCTGGAGTGTTCTTCGAGTCAACATTTTCCAGTATTCCAGCATGCTATACTCCCTGGAAAGTGAGCTAAAGTAGGTCTCATGAAGGACCTGAATTCACAGGAATGAAAGGGGTTGTCACTTAGACATGAACTATGAACTTCAGGTTCAGAATCCATAGCTGTCCACTGACTTCTCTTTGAGGTGCTTTGATTGAGGTTTTTATAAAGCAATTTTTATTAAAACTTAGTGGGAATCTGATTCTGAAAAGGTGAGACCTTGCTTTTACTAGCATGTA